CACATACTATCATAATATCTCCCCTAAGAAAGCAGCTTTTCTGCTTTCGTGTTCAATTTAGTTTTTTAAATATTCAAGTTGGGGGAAGCTTATCATAACCAACCATTGTATCAAGCTCATCTATACATATGTTGTTCCCTTTGTCTTTTTTTTAATCGTCCTATTAGGGACTCATTCAGCTCTTAACACAAACCATATATATACACCCATTTGTGCAAAGCTAACCTGTACATTCAATACCTAGTCTCCATCATCCTCAAAACATTGCTCGCCAACTAGACACCCAGCATCAGGTCCCCCAAACTAGTTAACATCTTAGTTAAACCCTTCTACTTCTGTAAGAGTTGACAAGGAACTTCACTTGCAACAATGTAACCCCAGAGACACAAATTAGCACATGGGAAAACACGCAATCAACCATTCTAAACAGGTTCTTATATCTCTAACAATACCCACATTTCTGCTTTTGTAAACAACAGTAAAAACGAAAGCCACTCAGACTGCACTCTCTCCCTCTCGCTCTGCCCAAGGGTGGAGAAGAACGATCATCAATGGCAAGCGGCAGCTGCAGCGAGGCAGCGCCGGGAGCCGGCTTCACGTTCAGGAGAGAATGCTGCGCCTCCTCCTCGTGGTTTTCGGTGCTCTACACGATCAGAGAAACTTCTCTAGTCACGAACTATAGAAATGATCCCTGAAAGTATAGTCTTAGCTTCCAGTCTGCAGCCGCTACTGGGTCCTCGGACGCCGCACACATTACACAATGGTGAAAAAGTGCGCCTAGTTTTAATTTGAATATAATATACTTATGGAAGTAAGTTCTGCGATACAGTCTCTTAAAATCTAATATAACAAGATATTTTCACGATTTTATGTGGAAATGTACACATTTTCGAAATAATTTTAAGCAGCCGCGTTTAAATTAGCATAATGTTGAAGGACAGCCAATCACAGACCATGTTCTAATTAGCATACTATTGAAGGATAGCCAATCACAATCCACCTTTGGAAAGGCGGTTAGCTGGTTCCTATTACTGTGTCTGGCAGACGATTGAGTTGCAGACAATTGCTGTTTGAGTTTCAAAACGACATGATTTTCTGGGTGGTTGAGATCTAGGGTTGGAAGCGAGAACTGCTTTTGACAATGCTCTTGGAACTTTTGGTTTTGTTTCTAGATTATTTATTGTGAAGCGAGTGAAGGTTTACAGAGGAAAACGGTTTCCCACCCACCAGTCCCTACACATTTCCAGTTCATACACATTTCACACCAGTTCATACACATTTCATACCAGTCCCACACATTTCCAATTCATACACATTTCATACCAGTTCATACACATTTCCTGTGTCTGAGAGTCTAAATTCTGAGTATCTCATTTGCAGAAGGCAAAGGAAGTCCATCAAATTCCATTAGCAGAGCCCCCACGTGGCTGACCCGCCCATTGAATCCCCTGCTGCCTTTGTCTTGCCCTCAGGCAGCGTGCATGGGAAAGTGGATTACCTCCACTCCTCTCCAACAAGTCCCGGGAGGGGCAGTCTCCCATAGGGACTTGCCTGGGTGTGTCCTTCATAATGAGGGAAGGATTGGGGCCCTACAGTCCTGAGGCAAGCCCCTTCTGAGCTCTGACGGTGTCAGGGACAGAGCAGGGGCTTCTGCCCTGACCAGAGGACCCGCGAGACCAACTTCTGAACAAAGGACCCCTGGAGAACTGGCTCACTAAACACCCTAAGCTTGAACCAGACCCCGGTGAACATCATGACACAGGACTGCTCCTAAAAAATAAACCCGAAAGCCTGCTGACCCAAAGCCAGAGCTGAAATAAAACTGAGAGCCCCACTGACGAACTGGATAACGAATTACAAAGTTGCCTGACCATCGGCCAAGCAGCAATGCCCCTTTGCAAGTGCCCTTGAAAAACTAGAACCGCTCCGGAGACAACGTCCCTTCTCAACATGAAAGGAAGGGGAGGGTGCTTCCCCTCTGAGTGAAGTGTATCTTGTCTGCACTTCTCGCCTCTCTAGACGGACCCGCTTCCTTTCTTTTGAAGCGATGCTATGCCTCTATGAAACTGTTGCATAACCCTGTGCTGAACGCTATGTTATGATTTTGAGTTTTGTTGCATGGATTTCTCCCCCTCTATCCAGGGTCTTCCAGTGTGGCCTTTCTAGGACAGTCGTTGATGGCAGCCTGCACCACCTGGTTCTTCCGGCCTCGGGATCCTGGAGACAGGTTTGCGTGGTCCATGTGTTGCGGCTTCAAATAAATGACAGCCCCTATAGCGTCTTGACATTTAGAAGTCTTTTATTCGGTTAGAACCGGACTGCGAGCATCTTAAAGTCGCTCTTTGATTGCAGTCCCGAGTGGACCTTTCAGTGAGTTTATAAAGCCCCAAGCTCAATTTATCATGTACCACGGACTTTCCTATAGAGCGAGCAGGCGTGACAAAAGAAGAAAGAAGAATTAACATCATTATTCTTCAGAGTTAGGGAGCATTACAGGGTACAGCATTCATTCATCCTGGTGAATAAAATAAGAATAGCAATATCCTGGTTACAACATCAAAAGGAGCAGTGTTGTTAATTGCAATGTTCTGATCTCCAGAACATAAGAGTACCTCCTAAAATCAACCACTGGTGGGACTTTCTGAGACGGGAGGGGAGGGAGGCCTGTCATCCAGCCAAGGGCGTTACAGTGGCTCGTGCTAGTCTGCCCCACATTCTCCTGCTGGACTCAATCTTCTTTCCTCTGGACGGGACAGACCAATAGTTGCACGTTAGGTAAGGTGACCAGCCATCCCACTTTTGGCGAGACAGTCCCGATTTTGAACAATTTGTCCCGCATCCTGCGGCGTTTTTAAAAAGTCCCGATTTTTGGAAAGAATGCACGACAAGCTAGAGTATACAGTTTTCGGCTGCCATGTGGCTATTTCGCCAGGATATGAGTTTTATCAATGGTGTCCCGCTTTACCAATGTTAAACTCTGGTCACCTTAATTCGTTAGGTGACTGCTCACAAGCTTTCAGACTCCAGCTGCTGATTACCAAAATAGGGTTAGGCTTTGTGGACTATGTTATGCCAATTGACATCGGTGTGTGTTCCTAAGGCTGTGGTCCTGAGCTCTAAGGCCCAGGGACTCCTTCCCCCAAGGTGCCCGGTGATGTCCAAGAAGTTTGCATAACTCTGCCCTCTGTCTGCTCCAGCTTACAACAAAGGTTGTAAATATGCACGGTCTAAATATGCTCAGTGAGACATGTCTGCGCGGCTCCACTCCCACTCTTCCTCCCACACCTGCTCAGCCCGCATGTCCACCCATGCATTGACTGATAGGTCATCGCTATTGCAGGGTGGTGTGTATAACCACTCTGACTCCTGCCGCCTTTAACCCCTGCCCTCCTCCCAGGGTCCCTTACCTGGGACCTCCTGCTGTGATTCGGTCAGAGCAGCAGAGTGGTGGCTGAGCATGAGCCAGGTCTTCTGGCTCAGGGTTCCAGAGACCGAGGCTCACGTGGTGTCTCTGGTGCCCCATACACTCGCACTATCTGTTCACACTACATTAGAAATCAATCAATCAATCAAACCGTTGTTTGGTGAATGTGATGTGATTTATTCATCACAAATGCTTGCATGCCAACGCTAACAATAGCCACAAAACAAACCGGTTGCCGCGGGTCGCTTCTGACTCCCGGAGACTCCACGTGTGACAGGATCGCTCCAGTACTGGCCCTTGGTTGCCATCATCTTATGGAAAGAAGCCATGGTGGCACGCTGGGTTAAGCACGGGCCGGCTAACCCGAAGGCTGGTGGTGCCAGCCCACTAGTTGCCCCGTGGGAGAGAGATGGAGATTTGGACGGAAGGTTTCCATAAAGCTGACTGACCCCGTTCTGCTCCGGACTGAGGGTGAACGTGAGTTGAGACTGCCGTGAGCTAGAAGGGCCTCCGCAGCAAAGCACAGGATTTCTGTGGGCTTGTTTGCTTTCTGGGGTCCCCAAACTGCGGCCCGCTGATGACATTTATCCGGCCGCGGGGTGTTTTTGCCCCATTTGTTGTTTTACTTCAAAAGAAGATCTGTGCAGTGTGCACAGGAATTTGTTCATAGTTGTTGGTTTTTTTTTTTAACTATAGTCCGGCCCTCCAACGGGTCTGGGGAGTGGGAGAGTGTGTTAGTCTGGGTACATTAGAGAAACAAATCCACAGAAACTCATGTATAAGAGAGAGTTTTATATAAAGGGTAAGTGCACATCAAGAAAATACCCACAAGTCCAACATTAACCCATTAACCTATATGTGCAACACCAATCCACAAAGTCCTCCTCCATCTCACAAAACACACACTATGATGCCGACTGCTGGAGGAAAGCCGAGTCAGTGAATGTGTAAGCATCTCAGTGCTGGCAGGGGTCTCTACACGGCTGCTCCAGCACCCAGGGCTGCATCGGGGTAGGTCCTCAGGGACGTCTTGCAGGAATTGAGCACTGCCAGCTGAATTAGGGAACTGGTAAGGCAGCTGCACCCTGGTCCGACCATCAGAAAGCAAGAGACCCAAGAACTAGAAATGAGAGGCTCACTGAGCCATGTATCCCTCTGCCCTTCAGTTAACCGCACATGTGTTTATCGGCCTGGTTGGCACCATAAACTAACTACCTCAGAGAACCTCATCTTTCTCTCTTGGGCTTGGCTGGTGGTTGGATGGGCAAATAGGCTCAAGGACAGCGAATGTGACGAGGAGGGTGTCGTTCTATGGAGCCAGGAGTCAGAGCTGACTTCAGGGCACCTGTGTGTTGGGCTGCTATGGGAGGTGGGCGTTTCTCTTAGCTGCTCTGTGGGAGATACGTACAGCTTTCGACTCCCGTACAGAGTGACAGTCTTGGAAAGAAGTCCGCGGGCAGTTCTTCCCTGCCCTCTGGAGTCGCCGTGGGTCAGAATTGACCCAACAGCAGTGAGTGTGAACGCCGAAGGCTGTGCCTGAATGTAAACGTGCTGCTGCAAAGTGCTTCTGTTCGCAGCGACGGAGCCTTTCAAGGGGCGCTCTGGCCAGTTTGATGCGTTTACTGGGCACCCTGGAGGAAGCACTGTAATAACCAAAAAACATGCAGCTAAAATGACAACAGTGGAGATCAGTTAAGCCAAAAGCGTGCAGAAAAATGAAACAAAGAAGATGGGACAAATGACACTTGGGTAAAGTTAAGCTAATCTACTGCACTGACCACCTTAAAGGAACATTGATTCGAAATGGGGCGAAGGGGAGATTTTCTGTACTACCTTTCACCTTCCTGTGATCTGAAAAGAGTTCAAAACAAAACTATTTCAAAATTCCATTTTCTAAACCCCTCATTTTAAAGGTTAGAGACTGTCAGATAAAAATGAGTGGAAACATACTATCCAGCAGCAATGGGGGTGGGTGATAGGGCACAACTTTCAATAGCACTCATTCACAAAGGCAGAACCACGCCCACATCGTAAGAAAGCGAGGAGGGAATTAAAATAGTCAATATACGGTCGTCCTGGGCCACCTTTCATTGAGCACCCTCAAAGCAAGAGAGCTGACCCAAAGCCCAATGGCCACCAATTCCATGACCTTGGAACAGCAGTCATCTGCTGCTGCGTACAGTAGGGCAGTTCAGTTTCAGCCTTAAATCTAGGGAGTATGTCAAGTCCTTAAACCTGCTACAGGCGAGTTTGAAGTAAAGCTCAGTTTGCTTAGTGGGGTTTCCACCTTGAATCCTTCTGGGGTGACCTATGAAGGATGCTCTGCTCCTCAAAAGGACAGTTCTCCGAGTCCCAGTGGTCTGCAGCACATGGCTGCGTCCTCCAAGGCTGATAGAAACTAGGTCAAATGTGTCCAATTAGAAACATAGTATGGGGCCTGTCTCTCCTTGGGTTCTACATAAGCATTGTTAGACATTTCTTTCCTGACGAGCGGTCACTCTTTCCGGTTTACCCACTGTGGTAGTCACATAATTTCGCCGCAGCTCGAAGCTATAAAAGTGAAGGGGTGGAGGTTAGCCTATCAATCATGTTGCGGTTTGATGACCTCGTTTGGAGGTGCCACTGACATCAATGGCTCTCTGGAGGCAGGCCCCTCTCAATCTCTGCCTTCACCTTCCTGCTGGTGAGCCCTGATGGCAGCCGGAGCCCTGGAGATGCATCCCCCGCCATTGGATCCACAAGACTTTGCACCCACCAGCCTATGGTCTTCCTGCATTCTGCATCGTTGCTTGTGGCTGCGTGAGTCTGAAGAAGGACTTATGAACTTGAGTTGAACTGGGCTGGGTTGTTTTCCTGATATTCAATTACTTCTTGATGTAAAGCTCCTTTTTATATATATCTGAGTGTCCCTGGATTTGTTTCTCTAGTCAACCTGGCCCAACACACCCACCGACCTACGGAAAGGTCTGGCATTTGTTTTCTCCAGAGCAATCAGCTCACGTTGCTGGGAAGACAGCGCCAGGTCTTTTCTTCCACAGCGTGGTTGGTGGATTCAAGCTGCCTAACTTTTAGCTAGTAGCAGAGCGCTTAACCAAAGCACAACCAGAGCCCCTTCTCAAACCCATGCTTCTGCTGCATGTCTTCAGAGCTTGTGTCATTTTGTTTCATTTAAACTAACACTCTGACCAGGGAACCGCTGCCATGCTAAGGGGCAGGCCTGTCCTACTGGCCAGCGGCCAGCGCACGCCCCTCCACTGGCCTAGCAAGGAGTCACATGGCTCCCCTGGGTTCACCCAACACATGCTCATGACTGCCACCTATGGGTCACACTAACCTGCCAAGCAGCGGATGCCCCTCCATTCTTCCCTGGTGCCTATGATTTTATTTTTAAGATTAAGATTTAAAAAAAAAAAAATTAAGATTTTCTTCACAAAACAGTGTTACAGCCTCTGTCCAACACCAGTTGCCACAGACGGTTTGGGATCACAGCTATCTCAGGCCACAGCGAGATTCTCACAGGAAAACCTCACAGCTCTTAAATGCTGTAAAGGTGAAGTCCCCGGCACAGTGGTGGAACCCCTATGAGATGCTGAGCAGAGGAAAGCAGACTATCACAGGAGCTCTCCTGTAGCTCGGTTCGGAGGTGGGTCTCCTGAGGTGTGTGTGGCACCCACCTGAAAACAAAACACCAAAAGAAGCAGCTACCAAATCCGTGGAAACGGTCCAATGTAGAGTCCCGGCACGTTCCCTGTCTGCAGCCCAAACCCAGCACCCCCTGCAGGCCCCCAGGCCCTGTCTGAGGCTTCCTTTCAGGTCCCACATCCACTGCCATTATCCTTGTAGATGTCGAACCAGAGAACGTTTTGTTGTGTATCTTTTTGCCATCATTTTAAAAAATCACATGACTAACGCGGAGGACCAGGGAGAGGACAACGTTCTAGAATTCATTGTGGCGATGATTGTACAACTCTTCCGATAGGACTGGGTGAGTGGATTGTATGACCTGTGGATGAAGTGTCTACAAAGCTGTGGGATACTAACAAACAACCAACTAGATGCAAGAGGAAGTCCCTCTCTCAGCCTGCCACCTCTGGGACAGGTAACCACCGATGCCTGGCTGACCTATGGGGGCGAGCCTCCGAGCCCTGGGAGTGTTGTGGGGTCGGTGCTGGGCCACTAACCGCAAGGTCAAACCCACCAGCGGAGTGAGGCTTTGTGATCCTTTATTGCCTAGAACCACCACCCCCACTCCCACCCCGCCCCCCGCCCCGGCTGGTGAGTTTGGTCTGGGTGCACTACCCCGAGTCCTGCCTTCTGTTCAATGGTGATGTTCTACATAGATCCCCAAGACAGATCACAGACAGTCTTCAGAACACAGCCCTTGGTAAATCATCTCAGAAACCTATTTGTGCCCAAGACCCCAAACTCGCCCAGTTCGCCTGGATGGGGAGCCGTGGCTCCAGGGTGGGCATTGATAAACCGGTGGGAGCCCACTGCCTCCGACTTCGGGGTTTGGGCTTGTGTGCTTCAGCGATAGGAGGGGCCGCTCATAGAGCTAGGAACACTTAGGAGAAGGGGGATCCATGTGCCCCGCGTGCCCACACTTGGCATTTTACTCTCATGGGAGCGGTTTGCTGGTCTCCCAGACGGGCGGGCGGGCATTCTCAGAGGGTCTGTCACACAGCGGCTGCACACCTGCGTGGTCCCAGAGCCCAGGGGAGGAGGGATTTCCAGGAACCAGGGAGCTCCGCACCTGACTGGGGTCCCCAGGACCTACCTGTCCCTCCAGGCTTCCCTCACCCTCACCCCTCCTCTTGTCTTTCTGGGCCCTTCCTGGCGCTCCAGCACAGGGCAGGCCGCGCAGTCTGTCCTGATTCTCTGACCTTGGCCTCCTGGCCCCAGCTCACTGACGTATCTTTCCAGGGAAATCACCACGGGGATTTGCAACACCAGGCGATGGAGCTACATCTACGGGGCGGGGGTATGAGGGGGAAACAGGGGCGAGGCACAGGAGAGCACGCTGCCCACCCCCATTCATCTCCACCCCTCCCCCAGGCTCCGGCAGAGGGAAGGGCTACCCATACCCTGTGCCTCCCACCTGCCTCTGTCTCCCACGGGAAGGGCCCCACCCACCCTCTCCCCATCAAGTGTGTGAGGGAGCAATGAGGGAGGAGGAGGCGGGAATCCAATCATCAATTAGTCAACCAATTAATCAATCTCTCTCTCTCTCTCTCTCTCACACACACAAGAGCACTGTTTGCCTCGCTCTTCTTGGCTTCTCGCTGCGTTTCAGGCATCTTACTCAGCCCTGCCGGGACGTTAGATTTGACTAAGCCCGGTGGCCTAGTGGTTATGTGTGGCCTAGTAGTTATGTGTGGACCATGTGGCCTAGTGGTTATGTGTGGACCATGTGGCCTAGTGGTTATGTGTGGACCATGTGGCCTAGTGGTTACGTGTGTCTTAGTGGTTATGTATGGACCATGTGGCCTAGTGGTTATGTGTGGCCTAGTGGTTATGTGTGGACCATGTGGCCTAGTGGTTATGTGTGGACCATGATCCTAGTGTCAGCAGTGTAAAACCACCAGCGGCTCCCTGGGCTCTTTATTCCCATCTCCCAGGTGTTGTTTTTCTGGTTGTGTTTTTTTGGGTTTTTTCAGTGCCAAACACTTGCGTTGGGGTTCAGAGGAAATGAAATTGAGCCCGTCAGTATTTTGTGGGTGCCGAGGCCCTAACAGAGATCAGGCTGCACCACACCAGGAACATGAACCCCTCCACCAGGGGGGCCAAGCAGTCCCTTGGGGGCTCCCCGGGCACCCTCCTGCCTCAGGCCCCTGGGAGCCCCAATAAATAGTGGTTTCTCTATCGCATCACTGCCAGCTGTCCTGACGAGGGCCCAAGTATGTTGGACTCGAGGAGGCGTGGCACAGCGATGACGGTGTTTCTTCAGGGGGTGGGGGTGGGGAAGGTTGCAAGTCTGAACTGCACAGCCTGGCAGCCTTCATCCCACCTCTCTGAGCTGCTGAAATAGGAGTCCCCAACAGGGGCGCCACCTGCTCTCATGAAACCCCACCCTGGAACCCTGAACATCAGGAGACGTTCAGAGGCTTGACTGCAAGGGGCTGGAGTGTGAACGATTCAGACACTAAGCACAGGGTCTTTTACAGGTCATGTAATCCCACAGCAACTCTGAGAGAGTATTCACCCTTTGAAATAAGTTGGGTTTTTTCCTTGTTTTTTTTTTTTTTAAGGGCCAGCTTGTTTATAGAGCTGTGCACACATCTTAGGCTCGCTGAGTGAACGCACCACACCCAACTTGGACGCCTTCTTGGGGCCTCTTCCCATGCCCCTCCACTCCCTCCCGCCCATCCTGACTGTCGCTCAAGGGCTGGTGCAGCCTGCCTTTGAACCTGTGTAGGTGGCACCATCCACCGTCGATGGGACTAGTCCGCCCTCTTTCACTGACTCGTGTGCTGGTCAGGGACGGGAGTGGGCCCGGGTCTGCGTGAAGGCTGCGTGGCGGCTGCTGGAGAGGGTAGGAGCACCAGCCTGGCCGGTGTCCAGACACAGCGGGCCGAGCCGTTCCGCTCGCACCCCGGTGGGCTCCAACCTCACCCCACAATCCATTTTAGAAAGGGGAAAGCTGCCATGCTGGAGATCGGGGACAGACGTGGCACGCCAGTGTCCCTGGAGTGGGCACAGAAAGAATCAGCCAACTTCTCTTCCAGCCAGCAGTGAAAGTCACGCTGGGGCTTTCTGGGACAAGCGGTGGGAAGGAGGCACAGAGCAAGGGAGCCTTTGAATCACAGAAGCTCCCAGGGCAGAGGGCAAGGGTCCCAACTCAGGGAACAAACAGACTTTCCGGTGTGTTGAGCACTAGCTGAACTGATGGGGGAGGAGCCAGCTCAGACCCCTGCAGGCCCCCCATCTAGGACATGGGTTTAATGAAGCCGTAATCCATGCACTTGATGAGGCATTCCCGGGCCGTCTGGATCACCTCCTCTTTCTGCTTGTCGGGCTCCATCTTGCCCACGATCGTCAGAATCTCCAGCAGCTCGCTCTCCACCAGCTTCTTGGCCAGTTCAGCATCGGCTGCCAGGAGGTTGTAGACGATGACCAGGCCCCGGTGCTGGACGGACAGCCGGTCATGCAGGCACAGTCGCTGTAGGATCTCTAACCACTGGGATGTCTGCAGAGAGAGGGAGAGTGGGGGGAGAGGGTCGGAGGGATCCGTGGGGAGACCTACAGGAGACTGGGCACACGCTAAACCGGAAGGCTGTGGCCAGGCCTGGATGCTGGCCTTCAAAAGAGACACACACACACACACACTTGGTTATCTGTCCATGTCTACTTGAGTCCCTGGGGACCAGCTAAGCTAAAAGATGACCTTCTCCTTGCTTGACAGGACAGGGCTCTGGACTAGAAGGAAACTGAATGGATCCTAGCTTCTCAGTTACCAAGTGGAGAGACTGAGGCCCAGGCAGGGTGGGGAAATGTCCCTATAATCAATCAACTATGTGGGAAACAGAAGGATTTCTCTCAAGTTGTCTCTCCCAAATATATGCCAGACTTAGCTGTTTGAGAATGACTATACACTTGGAGGTCATCAGAAGTAGATCAGTGGTCACTCTCCCTAAGAGCTATCAGCCATTTAGACCAAGCAGACACCACTGTTTATCCCACAACAAGTAGGGCCCACTCCCTTCTGATAAGGATAGTAGTTGTCTGTTTCCTTGTAGGAGACACCAGAGAGGTCAAACCTGCCCATGGATGACCAAGATTAGGCCACCATCATGAATCTAGGGTCCACCCATCTTGTCACATGTATACCCCTAGACCTTCCCATTCCTATGGGCACACCCCTAGCTCATCCCCTTCCTGTTACACTTATGCCTATCATAGATCCCCTTCCTACAAGGTGTATGCCTATTGTACTGCCCCTTCCTGTGCCGTGTGCTTCTGTAATGATGTCCTGGTGGTTGGCAATAAAAAGGAGGGGCTCTCTCTGGAGCCTGGGAAGCTCTCACCCTGGAGGCTCTCCCAGATTCCCGGGGCCCTCTCTGGCTCTCGGGCCAGGGCAGGCTCCCCGGTTCTCGGGTTCCGAGGCTGCTCCTGCTCTCGTGGCCGGGTTCCCCCCACAAGGACCACCAAGCGGGGCTGAGGTGAGCAATGCTACCATGTAATGTGTCTGACTGCAGTTTTGTATCTCTCACGCTGTCGATGACTTTAAACTAATATATATATATCTCAACCATACAATTGTGCAGTACTGAACCCACGGGTAGTACTAGCAGCGGGTGGGGCTGGCCCCCCACTCCCACAACTTAATGTTACACAACTACCTGGTAGGAGCGAGAGGAAGAGCAGCCCCCATTGTGGAGGCTTGAGAAAGATGGGGACAGGCCCCCTGTGTGCCTGAGGAGGGTGGGGGTACAGGGGGTTTATCCAGAAGCATTCTCACCCTGGGGGCCCAGGAAATGCCTGTCTCTGCAAGCCCAGGTGCCCTTTGAGGTGGAAGCTCCAGGTATGTGTGTCTCTGGTCTTGACGTCAACTGCAATCATTAGGAGTCCAGCCCGTGTGGACCCTGCGCCCCGCGCCTCCCTGTGCACTGGTTGAGCAGTCTGACTACAGGCCCTGCAGATACGCTGACCGTCCCAAAGACAGATGGAGCTGGGACCTGAGGCAGGGGGCTTGACTCCTATCACTCGATCGCCCCGTGGTGTGGGAGAAAGGGCGTAAAAGCAAGCACGGGTCAGGATCTACAGTTGGCCGCGTCACCTTTTGTAGTCGTACACCCGTGGGCACCACTCTTACCTCTCGGAGCAGAACAGGCATCAGCATGGGTTGTGGAGTCAAAGAGACCCCGGTTTAAGCCCCAGCCCAGCCACTAACCAACTGCATGACCGAGGCTCAGTGGTTCAAGCTCTCCCAGCCCCAGGACCCTCGTCTGGCACGCCTCCCTCATTGCACGCAATGGCTTCACACAATGAAGGGTTGAGCGAGTTTAGCGTGCAGCCTGTGGCACAGTGAGAGTCCAGCACGTGGAAGCAGTCAGGGGTAATGATTAAGACCCTGGCCCAAGGAATCTCTCCTCTGCGCTTCCTTTTCCCTGCTCTGCCTTGTCATCCTGGGTAGATTTCTAGACACGTTGCTCGCAAATAGGGGCACAGACATGGGGGAGGGTGGGAGAAAGTCATCCGAGCCCCCGAGTATGCAAATTTATGTCCACTCTTTGCTGAGTCTCCTACCCTGAAGACAGGAAACGGAAGTCCGGCTGGCTGTGGCACGTTTCCATTCATGGACCGTTTCCACACTTACAACAAATGAAGTGGACCCAGCGCCCATCCTCCCTGGGATGAGTCCTTATGGGCTGGAGGGAGGCGCTGATGGAAATCCCAATAGAGAGAGGATCTCAGAGTGGGAAGAACTGAGCCTGACTGCCCAGGCAGTATCCGGTGAGGTGAGACTGCAGAGATGCCGCAGAGGCTAGGGGAGAAATGGCTGGGGGGCAGGGGGGTGTGTGTGTGCCTGGGCTGATGGCCCTGGAAGCCTCCCAGAGCCCTCAGAATCCCAGCATGGGAACAGGAATGGGAAGGGAGTCGAGATTTCCGAAGAACAAGGAAGGGGCAAGGATTGAGCCAACAATTCCCAAGGATCATTCCTTCCATAGACTTTTCACAGCTCGATTTCCCTATCTGTAGAGTTGGATAATCAATACGATCCATCCAGTAACAGAGCTGGTAGGATTAAGGGAGGGGATCTATGCACCACACAGAACGATGCCTGGTGCACAGGAATCCCAGTGACCTGTGGGGACCTGCTGACCAGCGTTGGGCAACCACAGTTACTTTAGCAAATGTTGCTTTTAGGCCAGCAGTTTTCAGAGGGCAGTCTCGAGGCCAGAGGTGCCTCCCCTCCAGTCTCTGGACTCAGAACAGCCAGGGAAGCTGTGCTTTCAGTTCTCCAGGAGCATCTTACACACCTGAAGGTCTGCGGACTGTAAGGCTTTAGGGCTATAGACAAAGGACGAGCAACACCCAGCAGAGGTGGACTAGGACAGCCTAAGCCCCCTGGGAACGTAGGTGACACACGCGCAGTGACACACAAAGAGGACCTTGGCCTAAGCCCCCTGGGAACGTAGGTGACACGCGCGCAGTGACACACAAAGAGGACCTTGATTGGAGAGCTAAAGGAGCCTGTCTCTCAACCAGAGTTGAGTCCACTTAAGTTGGCACGTTGATAGTGTTTGCCACCAGCCAAGATGAGGGAGGGTCTATAAACCCTCATTCAGTTCAGTTTGGAGGATAATGAGAGTTTCATGTTGCCTCTCCACGCTCTGATTGTGTAAACCCCACTTCCATCGCATCTGCTGAACTGGCCTACGTCCCCTCATCACCGCTCAGGAGAATCTGGACCCCCTTCACCCGACCACAAGGTCCCGATGGTCTCTCCACCCACTCGCATGCTACTCTTCTGTGTGCTTGGCCCAGCAGTGCTGCACAGCCGTCATTGTGGGGGTGGTGGTCATCATTCTGAAGTGGGGAGGAAGAAGCCTCAACAAAGGCGGAAGCCATGGAGGGAGGGAGCTGAGCCGTGCACATGGGAAGGCCGGGGAGTGAATGTGAGGAACATAGACTCTCCTCTCTTTAGGTGGTCGGAACAGACCCCTCCTGGACAGGGAACAGGAAGGTCTGGCCTCCCCACCGAGGATCACACAGGTCAGTAGGCGCTGAGGATGGGGAGGTCCTTATAGCCGACTCAGCAACCCTCGGTGCCCCCGCGACTGCGCTTACCACTTGTGTCATCTTGAGGCAGAGTTTCTTATGTGCCGCTGTCAACATGGCCAGGGCTCCAGCGGCTGCGTTCTGCACCTTGTCATCCTCCTCCCCGCAGAGCAGCACCACCAGCTTCAGCCGGTCGTTCCCATCGGCCAGGAACCTCTCCTGTACCTAGCGGGCAATCGGGGACCGAGAAGATCGTTACATGGCTCTGTCTGGAAACACAGAGATGTATTTGAAGGAGATCCCTCAGAGCTCTCCGGTGAGCCGCTGTCTCATGCCACATCTCTGGGAAGTCTTCCCTAACTAGCTAGACATGAGTGGGGCTGGAAACTCCTCCAGCTACAAGGTTAAAGAATCCCTGTCTGGGGCAGAGAAAATCGAAGACCATCGAAGACGCCCGGAAACAACTGGTCCAAAGGACCAATAGATCTGTGAGCCTCAGCCTCTGGGAGACCCTGAGACCAAAAGAACTGGATGGTGCCCAGCTGTCCCTGCTGACTGCTCACAAAGAGCTCACAATAAAGGATCCTGGATAATGAGAGGGAAATGTGGAATAAAACTCGCAATAGTAATAAGACACAGGTCTATGGGCCTGATGGAGGCTGGTGGAACTCCCAAGACCATGGCACTTGGTCAATCTTTTAACCTGGAACTGAATGCACAGTCCAACTTTCAGCCAAAGAATAGACAAGTCTCTAGGTGAACCATAACCCGGGGCCATCCCAGAAGTGGCAGAAGGGGAAACAGTGCTGTGTATGTTGCGAACATACACAGCCAAACAGATGAGAAGTTGACCAGGTCTACACAGGTTCTGTCCACCACTTTGCTGCAACAGTGGGCTCAGGCATGGGGCCGATGGAAGGATGGCGCAGGACTGCCGTTGTGCACGGAGGCCGTTCACCGACTCAATGGTGTCTAACAGCAACTAACTTCAGAGCTCACGTAGTGACGGGGTTCATACTCTTTGAGATGGACACCCCTTCGCACCCTCCGTTTCGGAGTTCTTCCTGCTCCACTCACATAAACTCACTGTCCCTAAGATTCCCGTCTTAGACTCACTAGCCCCCTAAGGTTCCCATCGAAGACTCACTGCCCCGTGTCCCCCAAGGTTCCATCTAATCTGTGAGTTGCCATCGATCCCACACAGACAGTTCTTGAAAGAGCACCGTGTTCAAGGCAGGCATGTTTTTCACTCGCTAAGTGAGATTAGTTTGGTTTTAAGAACACTTTTTGGCTCAAGCTCTAAAGATGACCTCAGCACAATAGTTGCAGGGGTTCATCCACCCCCGTCATTCCCCAAAGTTTAGCATATGTGAGAATTTGAAACCTTGTTCAGCATTTGGGGGGAGACAAGTCTTGATGGTACAGAAACCCGGAAATCCCCGAGTCATTGCTTGGAAGTGAATTACTCCATCCCAATCGGACTGATATGAGTGAGACATGGACTTCTCTCCGGCTTTGAATGCTAGCAGAGGCTGATTTGTTAGGGCGCTAGTTCTTCCCCAGGGAAGGCTGCCGCCCCCACCCCACCCCACCCCACCCCTCGGTCCCCTCTCCTTAGACACGCTCGCTCAGTCCCACACGGCAGCCCCCAGCCCAGTCTAGGTGAGCTCTCCAGAGGAGGGGGTGGGGGGACTCTGGAAGCTTCTGTTCTCTGGCTTTGCCAGTTTGCCAGACATTTATGGATTGTGTTTTCCTCCTCTGATAGTGAGAAGATCCAAGACCCAAGTGACATATGGAGGGAAAACACGCTGGTCTGTCACCAGGCCCCACAAGCAGGCCCAGGAGGCCACCTGGCCTGGCCCTCACATTTACTGAGGTCCTCAAGACTGAGAGCCTGTTTTGCTCTCTAGTGAGATTTTACCTGCAGGCAGGTCAGCCAGTGGACAAGAAGAGGACGTCGCCCTGCCGTATACTGTGTCCCATTACTAGGCCACAGAGCTTATGGGGTGCTCTGAACTTATTTTAATTTTTAAAATCCTATAATTATCTGTGAAAGGCACAAGGATATTGTGTTGAAATTACTATGGAAACAGTGACCGGTCATTAAACAATAACAAGGAAAACATTTTAAAACGGCTCACAAGAGCACGTTGGCGTTCTTCATCGGCTTCACCTCAGTGGCACGCCCGTAAACTTAAGTGGCCCTGAGCTCTGACTGGCCTCGATCTCCAGCCCTATTTGCTAGGTCGGCCCTGGGCCTGCCAATGGTAACCTGTCGGCTGCTAACCAAAAGGTGGGGGTCCACCCAGGGCACCTCAGAAGAAAGGCCTGGTGACCAACTTCCAAAAAAGCCGCTGTTGAACATCCTCAGGAGCCTAATTCTACCGTGACCCGTGCGGGGTGGCCAGAAATCAGGATCGATGCAGCGGCAGCTGGTTTGCAAGCAGAGAAATGGCTGCTTCCACCTCCTTCAGCCCAGTGCTGAGGGGCAAGGCCGCAGCTGAAGGTACTGTTACCCTACATGCCTTGTGTCTCCTTTGTGCGTGAAGGGGATTGTTGCCGGAAAAAGACTCCGATTCTTGGGTTCTCTGGCCCCAATACTACCTTAACAACCTACCACAATGGCCCCTGGTGTCACCCAAAGTCTGTGCTCCGGTCTGACTCTCATGCCTCGGCCCCCATCCCTCATCCTGAGCCCCCTACCTCCTTGTTGACCACCATGTTGCACATGCACTCCGTGGCCGCCTGCCGCAGCTGGTCATGATCCTCGAACATGTAGTTCTCAATGTCTGGCAGGGCCCTCTCCTTGATGATCTTCTGCCTGGGTGAGAGGGGGGGAGGGAGTGAAGCCCCGCGTCCGTTAGAGTCAGCACGTGCCTTTTGGGGCCGGCCGGGCTCATTCCCGTCCCTTGTCTTTCAGTTGTCCTACTGGGGTGGCTTGCGTGGTGGACGCTGCTCTGTCACCTGTATTCCAAAGACCAACAGGGTCACGCCAGCAGAGCTTCCAGATGGAAAACACATTATGAAGCAGGACTAGGCTGTCCGCTTCTGAGGGATTAGACACCGGAAACTTTATGAACAGCGGTGGAACACTGTCTGATAGAATGCCAAAAAACTAGTCACTTAGGCTGGAGGGCACTCAAAATATACATTTTGCTCATAAAGGAGGCCTTGGGTAAACAGTTAAGGGCTCAGGTACCAAGTAACACTTTGGTAACTGGAATCACCAAAAGGTATCTTGGAAAAAATGACTGATATATTCCCAAGAGGTCACAGCTGCTGAAAACCCTGTTCCTTCTCCTCGGACACATAGGAGGCTGCCACGCGGTAAGCCAACTCAAGCCCAACTGGTCTTGCTGCTTGGGGTTTTGTTCTGAGTTTATTTTGGTTCATCAAAGCTGGCCTTTGTCTGCCAGTTGTCTTCCTGGGGTTGAGTTTTCAGCCACCTAAACCCACAAGAATTCCCCCACCACGATGCGTGTCACTGGAAAAATTGATGATGTTATCAGTGCAATCGCCTTATGCCCCAGGGGGATGACTGACAACGTTTTACTTTTTTGTTTCTATGGGTTTTTGTTCCTGCCTGTAGTTTGTTTTGTTTGCTGGCTGGTTTGTTGCTGCTGTTGGTGCAGCTGGTCTTACGGGGTTTTGGTTTTGCCGTAATAGGATTGCCGAGGTCAACCTGAGTCGTGCGTATCCCAAGGACAAGCAGATGGGCTCTGGGCTCCCCGTTCACTCGAGCCCCAGTCCAAGAACGGCCCTGCTCGGTACTCACCTGCATGAAATGATCCCTGAAGACAAGGTGCTACAGCAAAGTGTGGTGAAGAAAGCAGATGGTGCCCGGCTATCAAATGGAATAGTGTCTGGGGTCTTAAAGGCTTGCATTCAAACAAGCAGCCTTCTACGTGAGGCGTCAACTAAGTCACCATGGAAGAAGCACACCAGCCTGTGTGGTCCAAAGATGACAAGAGCCAAATCCAAATATGACGGAGGGCAAAGTATCATAAGTTCCGTTGTGAACACTCCACTTTACAGAGGCTGTGAGGACAGTGGTAGTCCAAAATCTATCTGGAGAGTAGCTGGTCAGATTAAGCCGATGGTTGATCCTCTGGCCACAGGCAAGGTCTGGAACGGCTTGATGACCAGATAGAGGCCACGGTCATCTTGATACTGGGTCAGTTGACCTCCCGCTTGACCCAATTTGAATTTGTTCTAGGTGCTTGTATTCTTGCTTGTCCCATGACAAACATAGCTGTTGAGAGTGATCTTTTCTTTCTCACGCATTACTTGTATTTCTATCTTTATATTGTTGTCTTATCCTTACCAAAAAAAAGATTGCCAGGAGTTGGAATTGACCCCATGGCAACAGGGTTGATTTTGGTTTGGACCTTCCAAAAAATTATAAAATAAACTGAATTTAATTTTTTTTAAAGAGAGAGAGAGAATTCCCCCGAATCATACTCCACCATACGCCTGCTTCCAAGAAGGAACAGTCTTGGTCTCCACCCACCCGGGTGTCTCTAGTTCTACTTTGCAAAGGTCTTGTGCCCGCCTTCCCCGCCGTCCTGCACGTCCCTCGTGGCCTGTAAAGGGGCTGCCTCCCTCCCACTGAGGCCCTCCCACCACCCCTGCTCCAGCCCTCCACGGTGTGTCTAGGATGCCAGCCACAGAGCAGGATGCCCTCGCCCCACCCCGCCAATCCTCACCCCAACTCACCGGAGCTTGTCACTGCGCCCCGACAGGTTGGTCAGGCCCAGGAGGGCCTCGTAGTTCTGCAGCCCATCCCTTTCCGTGTCCAGGAGACGCACCAGGGGCCGCACAACCTCATACACCTGCAGAGTGCGGGGTTGGTGGCCTGGGTCAGGTGGGGACCATGTTACTCGTGCCCACCCAGCCCCTTACATTGACAGGCGCTAAGCTGCGATCTTGCCACTGCCTGTGCCCACACGGTATCGGATTTCACGGTCTCCAGGAGCCCTGGGGGAGAATGATGGGAGCTCTACTCCCGTAAAGGGTTAAAGCCTCAGAAACTCACAGGGCAGTTCCGCCCTGTCCTCTACAGCCCCTTGGAATCCAACATCATCTTGAGGGCAGCGAGTCGTGATCCACACCACTGCCATCGAGTCCATGCCGACTCATGACTGCCCTGCTGGACAGGGCAGAACCGCCCCAGTGGGTTCCCGAGGCTGCAATTGTCATGGAAACAGACTGCCACACCAATCTCCCATGGAGGTTCTGGTGGGTTTGAACCTCGGCCCTTCCGGTGGTTAGCGGCAAGTGGTTAACCTCCGTGCCACCAGCCTCCTAATGACCTGAAAGGCAGGATGCTTTTTTCCCCTTTGCTGGATCTTGGAACCAGGCAAGTGCGGGAGCATGTGTCCTCTGTGATGGCACGGGCCCTGCCCAGGCTGGGGGCTATGTGACCAGGAATGGCCCCCAGGAGGAGAAGGGGCTTCTCTCATCGCCCCCACCCCCTACTAGACACTCACTCGCTCCCCTGGAAAGGCAATGTCCGGGTTGGAGATGGCAGCGATCTTTGCGAGGGCATGAGCTGCCTTCACCTTGCCCACGTCGGTGCCCTCCAGGGCCAGGGGAATCAGGGCCTGCAAGAGAGGGCACAGTCAGTGCTCGGGCAGAGAAAGCCATCTGTCTCCTCCCCTCCTCTCCTGCTGTCCTGGGGGCCATTCGAAGAGCAGTGACTGTCACCAGCTGACAGGCTGCAAGTCGAACGGAAACACCGGGGAGGTAGCACTCCTTAGAGCGAGCAAGCATGCAGGGTCAACAGGGCAGGAAGGGGTAGGAAAGAGGATGAGCCAGACAGTAAACCCAGGCTGGAAGTGGGAGAGTGCTGTCCCCTTCTGGGAAGACAATCAACATCACAAATGGAAATGTGCGTGGATCGTTGAATGGAAAACCAATGTGCTCTGTCAACTTCCACCCAAACCACAGTCAAAAGGAAAAGGGAAAAAAGAAGAGGATATAGTCAGGTCTTAGAGAACAGTTTAAAATGCACCCCACTTATCTCCCTGGTTCCCAGCACACATTAAGGTCTTCACCCCTCCTTCCCTCCACCCATTCATAAGTTTGTTCCACTTTGGGGAAAATCAATCCATCTCACAAACTGATCGTTAACTCTCTGCCTAAACCAAATGTAGTCCTCACAGCAGCTGTTGCTGAGCACCTCCTGTGAGCCAATCGTTAGATGCCCTGCCTGTAATATTGGTGACATCCTGCATGGTGTGTGTGTGTGTATTAGTCCCATTGGACAGAGGGTGGAAACTGTGGCTCCCAGAGCTTCAGCGATGTGCTCGCAGCTGAAAAAGAGCAGAGCAAGATGGGCTCCGTGTCCTCTGCTGCAGACTCCATAGTCTGTTTCCAGCACACTTCCTTCCAATAGCAAGGAGTATAAATGTGCATCTAAAGCAAATCCCACCACACATCCTAGTGTGGGGCTATTTGCCTGAGCACAGACCACAGAGGTAACTGAGTGACCGCGTTCCGAGAGGCTGGGTTGGGGACAGGGTACACTCTTCTGGTCCCGGCAAAGGGCATGTCCACATACACATATACCTCCCACGACGGCAAAGATCTCATAGGATCCAATTACCTTGCCACCACCTTGGGCCACGATGGTACCTCTGTCCTTCGGGTTGTCACACAGTGCCAGAAACACCCTGTAGTCCAAGGATAAGGGAGGACATTGGATGCCCGTGTGGTAGTTACATAATTTCATGTCAACTTGAAGATACGTAAATAAAAGTATAGGGGTGGTACTCAATCTTTCAATCACGTCACAGCCTGATGGTGACTCCTTGTGGGCATGACCTTCTCCTAAAAAAGGTCCCGGGAACCTCTCCCCGGCTCCTCTCCCTTCACCTTCCGACCTGCTGACCCTGATAGCTGGCAGAGACCTGGAGATGCTTCTACTGCCATTGGATCCACAAGACTTTGCTCCCACCGGCCTGTGATCTCCCCGCATTCTGCATCATTGCCTGTGGCTGCGTGAGTCTAAAGAGGGCCGCACGGGCCAGTATGGGACTCAGGGACTTGAGTGGGACTGGGCTGGGATGTTTCCTGAAATATAATGACTTCTTGATATAGAGCTCCTTCGTACACCTAGATGGGTGTCACCGGATGTGTTTCTCTAGTCAATCCGGCCAAACACACCCCAGCACCCGCTTCCCACAGCATCATCAGGTCAGCACACCGGAGCCAGGCAAAGCCTACGACAGATAAGACCGCATCTGGCTGGGCCGGCAGGTGCCACCGCCTTCTCCTGTCCTGGCACACATCTTGCTGTATGGAAATGGTGGCCTTGGGAAAAATCAATCCATGTCACAAACTGATAGTTAACTTTCTGCTGGGCGCTCATCTCTGCAATGGTGAATCCCACCAGGGCCTCTCAGCTCACTGCCCTCTCCCCGAGGCCGATCAACCTTATAGGACAGAGTAGAACTGGCCCACGAGTCTTTGAGCCTCTGTTTACAGGCATAGAAAGCCCCATCTTGGCCACGGCCACAGACGATCTGCTGTTCCCTGGTGACGCAGGGTTTGCCCTTCGGAGTGCTGGGGGCGGCCAGTCAGGGTCTGCGTACAGGACAGAATGTGAACCTAGGGACCCATCCCCCGGTGATGCACTCGACTCATTTAATTAAAAACAAAAACACGCAGCAAGCAAAAGTTCAAAAAAAGAAAAGAAAAAAGATAAAGAAAGCCCCATCTTTCTCCCGAGGAGCAGCGGGCGGTTTCGAAATGCTAACCTTTCAGATCCAAGTCCAACACCTCTGCACCACTAGGGCTCCTCACCCAGGGCCTGGGAACCAGGTGATGGCTCCTTTTCAAAGGTGGGCGTCCCTCTGCGTGACCTGCCTCGCTTGGTCACTTTTCAACTGGGATTCTTTGCAGTCTCTTTTCTAAGCCGACACATGGCCTCCCTCCAAGCCCTCCACGTTCCTATCTCCTTGGGGGGTTCCCTGACCCAACCCTCGGGCCCCAGCCCAGCCACACGCCGTCCAAGGCAGAGTACCTGGCCAGCAGCTCCTTGGTCTGGTCTGTGAGGATGGCGCTGTCGGCCTTCACCATGCAGGTCAGTGCAGAGATGACGCCGGCCTTCAGCAGCCGCTTCACCCGCATGTCTACGAAGTCCTTCTTGTCCTGTGGACATGGACAGTGACAATGGGGAGGGGGCCAGGGCACCGAACAGTTTCTGTTAGAATTCACACGGTCCGTTTCTGACTTCTCGGCGGTAGGCTGAGTAATAACCCTCTCACCCCGTCCAGTCCCTCTCCTTACAAGGTGACAGGCACTGCGCAGGTGTGATTGAGTTAAGGAGGCTTAGAGAGCTAGGTTGGCCGGGATTATCCTGGTGGACCAGACCGGTGTAATCACAAGGACCCAGCGTCACCCTCTTCCTTGTAAGAGGAAGGCAGGCACGTCAGAGGCCGTAGTAGATATGAGGATGGATGCAAGAGGTTGGAGAGATATGAAGAAGGGATTGCAAGCCAATGAGTGCAGGTGCTTCTAGAAGCCGAAAGTCAAGGGAAAAAGAGGCTTCCCTCAGTGTCTCCTGAAGAAACCATCCCTGCCAACCTCTTGGCTCTAAGCCTAGGGAGGTCGATTTTTCAACCTCCAGAAAGACTGGCTTTCCACTCCGGTGAAGAGTCACTGTCTCAGACACCCACAAGGGCGGTCCTACTCTGTCCTGCAGGGTCACTATGAGTCGGCATCAACTCAATGAGTGAGTGAGTGGGTGACAGTCTGAGAGCTCTGGTAGTGTAGTGCTTATGTGTTGTGCTGCTAACTGCAAGGTCAGCAGTTTGAACCCACCTGCTGCTCTGTGGGAGAAAGGTGAGGCTTTTTCCTCCCCTCAAGAGGGACAGCCCCAGAAACTCACAGCGGCAGCTCTCCTCTGACTTACAGGGTCACTGGGAGTCAGTATGGACTCAATGGCAGTGGGTTTGGAAGTTCGTTTGTTTTAATTATTTTATTGGGGGCTCGTACAACTCTTATCACAGTCCATACATACATCCACTGTGTCAAGCACCTATGCACATTTGTTGCCCTCATCAATCTCAAACCACCTGCCTTCCACTTTAGCCCTTAATATCATTTGCTCATTTCCCCCCTCCCTCCCTCCTCCCCATCCCTCGTGAACCCTTCCTTCATAGTTCATAAATTATTATAGTTCCGCCATAAGTTACACTGCCCGACGGCTCCCTCCGCCCTCTTCTCTGCTGTCCATCCCGCAGGGAGGAGGCTACTTTTGTTTGGTTTTTAAGAACGGCCAGAGAGTAAGCGTGTGTTGTTGTGGGCCACCATGTGGCGGTGGGAATGAAATGGATTCCCTTTGTCCAAGCCACTGCCTAGGGGCACAGCGTGTGCCCAGCCTATGAACACAGCGCCTGCGTCGCTGAGGGTAAGGAAAGGAGCTGTGAAGACTGTCCAGTTCTCGGAGTGGAACCAGCAAACACACCATCATCCAGACCACCAGACGACCCATATTGGAGGTTTCCTGCCGAGAGTGGCTTCCCACTGTTGGGAGAGGGGTGTGGGAGGGGTTGGAAGAGGAGAAGGTGACTGATCACCAGCGAGGGGTGTCTGGCTGAAATCAGCCCCACGGGTGGCAGGCCCGGGCAATCTCGGGAGCCACACTTGAACTTCCTAAGGGTACGGCATGCGTGGGGGCAATACGAAGCAATTTTGGGGAAACACATCAAGTCTTTCCCGAAAATTGGGCACAAAATGACAACGCCATTCTGGTTGTAAATGTGTGTGTGTGTGTGTGTGTGTGTGTGCGGGGGTGTGAGCAAGGGAAATAAACTCCCAAACAAACTTCCCTGCCAACTCTGGTAGGTGCTATCAGAATGCCAACAGGGGTCAGATGGGAGTGATGTAATTTTTTTTTTCTTTTTTTATCATTTTATTAGGGGCTCATACAACTGTTATCCCAATCCATACACATATCAATTGTGTAAAGCGCATTTGTACATCGTTTCTCAAAACATTTTCTCTCCATTTAAACCCCGGGAGTGATGTAATTATGAAGGGATTTTTTTTTGAGGATTCACGTTTTTGTTTTGCAACATGGTTATATTATGTTTATCATTTGGGGGAGAAACAAATGATTTTAGAGGCTGGGAATGGGATACATAGATAGCCATATGCAAATCACACGCAAATCACACCCTGCTGTGGAGGAAGTCACTGAGGCGGCAAGCATTATTTGTGACACTGGGCTAAGCTGATCTGTGTCTCCTCTCCCTTCCTTCTTGCTACTTAGCATTCAGGTCCCCAAACCCAAAGACGGCTGGGGTGGGGGTGGGGGGAATTACATTTTTGTATAGGTCAGAAACATAAACTCAAACTATCCAAAATTCATAAGATCAATGGCATCACTGAGCAAGGCTCATCAGGGCTCAATTTCTTTCTTCAAAAGTACAAATTAGGCGCTTTTCTGAGATAAAAAATGAAAACCAAGAAATATTTGAACGCCACCTGGTGGGACAATGTATTATTGTCACCTACAATTTCCCTTAGCCTACAGCATCCCAAGGATCCCTGGTGGTGTAGTGGTTAGAAGTTGGGCTGCGATCTGCATGGTCAGCAGTTCGAAACCCCCAGCAGCTCTGTAGGAGAAAGACTGGGCTTTCTACTCCCATCAACAGTTACAGTCTCAGAAACCCTAGGGGGTCACTGTGAGGCAGCACTGACTGGGTGGTAGTGAGTGAGACAGCCTCTCTGGAGACGTGGTGGTGCAGGGGATTACAAATTGAACTGCTATCTGTGAGGTTAGTAGTTTGAAACCACCAGCCACTCTGAGGGAGACATATGACGCTTTCTACTCCGGTAAAGAGTGACAGTCTCAGGAAGCCCCAGGGGCAGCTCTGTCTGTCCGGTGACATCATCCCACATGGGGCTCTGTGAACTGCAAGGTCGGCAGTTTGAAGCCACCAGCAGCTCCTCCAGAGAAAGACAAGACGTTCCACGTCAGTGGAGCGTTGCAGTCTGGGAAACCCCGCGGGGCAGCTCCACCCTGTCCTATTGAGCCTCTGTGAGCCGGCGAGGACTCGGTGCACCAGTGGCGTCACATCATCCCAAACACCCCAAGTTCACAGCACCCCAAGCTTCGTCGTTTTCCCACTCTGCTTCTAGAGACCACCCCGACCCAGGGGCCCCGTCCCACCTTGGGGTGCTCCTCAGGCACGTGCTGCTTGGAGAACTTGGCCAGCTGCACCAGCTCCGGGATGACCTCCTTGACGTCGTAGCTGTTGGTGCAGTTGACCAAGGTGGTGGCCACGGAGTACAGGATGGTCTTGTCGCTGGTCTGGGGGAGGGTGGGGTAGGACTCTTTAGAGCAAACTCCGCTTCCCAGATGGCATCCCTACATGGCGTGGTAGGAAGCCTGTGGCCCGTGGTGCGACAGCGTGGAGCGGGAGAAAACAGCACAGAGGGAGAGGAGTCTGGCCCTGCTCTGAAGGGGCAGGTAGACATGGACTCCGTACTCTGAAGGAAGGGGCCCTGGTGGTGCCGTGGTAAAGCACTCAAAGCCCCCCAGGGCTCTGCAAGGGGAAGGCCTGACCCTCTGTTCCTGGGGAATCCTGGGGGGCTCTTCTCCTTGGTCCCGAAACCACTCGAAGGCCTTGCGTTTGGTTTGGGGTATATTCCCAAGACGGCGTCTCCTTTGATAGTGTGAATAGGATTCTCTGTTCCTCGCTTCAAGGCCCGAGGTGACACAAACACGTTTGCACTGGACTGCTACCCGAAAGGTGGGCAGTTCCGACTCCCCCGTAGTTTCCTGGCAATCTATCTCCATAGTGAGCGCATCCAACTCAGAAAGCCCCGTGGAGCCGCTCTTCTCTAGCACTCGGGGTCACCGCGAGCCAACGTCTCTTTGCTGCAACAGGCTCCTTGCTTGGTGTTTTTCAAAATCTGAGTCCAGCAGGCTTTTCCCATTTACCTTATCCAACTAGGATGCAAATGGGGGTGGGCGGCAGCCACAGCTCTACCTTCCAGGGGTGGGGGGTCCAGGAAAGGCTGGCCACTCCCTCCTCACCCCTCACTTCCTAAGGGACCCAGGAGAAAAGACTGCTCATCCTCCCCCATTGCCTGGAAACGGTGAAGGGGCAGGAGTCCATTAACTGCCAAGTAAAGGAGGGTCAGAAAGATGGCATGGCCCGGGTTCAGGTTTACACGGGAGCAGGACGTTGAGTCAGCCTGGCACACGGCAAAGAAGCACTTGGCCTTCCCTGAGGTCAGGAGTCAGGGCCCTACGTACCTTAGCCAGCTCAAACATGGCCTGCAGGGCAGGGATGTCCTGGACAAAGTCGTCCTTCACGTCAGCATCCAGCGTGAGGTAGGCCATGCCTTCCACCGCCCAGCGCCGGGTCCGGGTGTCGATGGCTGCATTGCACAGCCATCTGGAAGGGGAGGGAGAGCAAAGGGGTCCTGGGTGGGGGGCCGCAAGGGACGAGCTTTCATGCAACCCAGAGACCCCCACACAAAGCGGACGAGCCTTCATGCAACCCAGAGACCCCCACACAAAGCCAACGGGGAGATGCCAGACCTGAGGACACACAAGCTCCTTACTTGCGACACTGCTTAGCCAGCTTCTCTGTGGACCCTTCAGCAAACTGCCGGAGCCCGTAGTCTGTGCCGCCCGCAGAGCCAAGCTTACAAAGGCCCTGCAGAGACAGGGGGACAGCGCGCACTGAATGACTGGCGCCAGGCTTAGGGACCAGGCTGTGCTCCAGTTCCTGTTGCCAGAATATCTTGTCCCTTTTTCCTCCCCTCTGTCTAAGTAGAGCCAGCTCAGGTAGCACCTCTCCTGGGGTGCCCTCCCTGGTCCTGGGAGATTGGGTTGATGCCCACAAAGCCCTGCCCACTTGTCTCTACTGCCTCCACCCTAGAAACCTTTGGTTTCTGCCATTTTTTAAAAGGCAGCATAAGATATTCTCAGCCACACCCCAGACTTCAACGGGAACCCGTGTCCATAGACAATTTAGACGCACAAAAGATTCACCAGGAAAAACTGGACTCTTGTTAGGAAACGTTTTTTTTTTTTTTTCTTCCATAGGAGAAAATTCACTCGGGCAGAAGCTAAAATTCGTTTTAAGAAAATCATATGAGTGACAAAATAACAATTTATAAACTATCAAGGGCTCATGAGGGAGGGGGGAGCGGGGAGGGAGGGGAAAAATGAGGACCTAACGCCGGGGTTTAAGTGGAGAGAAAATGTTTTGAGAATGATGTACAAATGCGCTTTACACAATTGATGTGTGTATGGATTGCGATAACAGTTGTATGAGCCCCTAATAAAATGTTTAAAAAAAAAAAGAAAATCATATGAGCAAAAAATGACTAATGTTTATAAGAAAAAATAGGAAGATGGTTGAAATCATTTCAAGAAAATTAAAATGGAAGCAGACATAACAGAGCTATAAGAAACCTAGAAGGGGGGGGCGGGAGAAGGCAATGGTCAAGAGCTTGTCTGCTAACCCAAAGGTTGGTGGTTCGTATCTGCCCAGCGCTCCTCTGGAGAAAGATGAGGCAGTCTGCTCCTGAGAAGTCTTACAGGATCGGAAACCCGTGGGGCAGTTCTCCTCGGTCCTATGGGGTTTCGGCGTGGGAAGCAATTCACCAGCAGTGGGTCTTACAGTGAAACTGATTAGAGAAATAGGCCAACCTTGGGGATTTGTTCTTTTTTTTTTCTTAATCATCTTATTGGGGTACAGCTCTTATCACAATCCATCTATCCATCCACTGTGTCAAGCACATTTGCCCAGTTGTTGCCATCATCATTCTTAAAACATCTGCTTTCTACTTGAGCCCTTGGTATCCGCTCCTCGGGGGATTTGTTCCTAAAATACTTTCTGGACAAGAGCGCGTGTGTGCTGGGTGGATGGGCTTGGGCCATGTTCTCCAGCATGCTCCCTCCGCCCTCCCTCTCCCTCCCACGAAGGAGCCAGTTGTGCAGAGGGGCTTGGGGGCCCGATTGCCCCAGGCCTAGCGCCTCCGCCCCGCCCACTCACCACCAGCGTGCGGATCTTGATCTTCTCGTTTTGGGTGGTCTTGTAGATCTCCTTGAGCAGCGCCACGCCGTTGGTAATGATGAAGCTGGCGCGGCTGAGCTTGGTGGAGGCGTGGATGAGGGCCTCCACCGCCACCAGCTGGTCCTGCTCGCGCTCCGAGCCGCACAGGGCCACCATCACCTCCATCACGCCCTTCAGCCCCAGCAGCTGGTTGCCCAGGTCGAAGGGGCCCTGCAGGATGCCCGACACCGTCTGGACGGCACCCACATTCTTGTCCATGTCCTGCGGGTCAAACTTGCTCCTGGAACAGAGGACAGGGCGGTCAAGAGAATGGGTCCAGGGGGGTGGGGGAGGCTGTGGGGTTTGGAGGCGGACAGAGCTGCACCCCTGGTGTCCTGGGTGACCCTGGGCGGTGGGCTGAACTTCTCTGTGCCTCGACTTCCTGGCTGGAATGGAGGCTAGCCCTATTACATCTCAGGACATAGTGAGGCTCGAATGGGGTCCTGGGAAGCACACGTGAAGATGGAATGTCCCTGCAGGAAGTTGATTAGGGAGAGCCCTTGGGAGAAGGGCAGGAAGCAGGCCTGGGCTGGGGAGGCCTGGGGCTGCAGTGCAGTCAGCTCGAAGCTTCAAGTTGTGACAGGGACATGCTGTTGGATGTCAGTTGCCCCACGAAGAGTGAGGGGGCTCTCCTAACCTGAGGCAAGTCCCTAGAAGAGGTGACAGCTTAGAGGTGTCAGCTGACAGCCTTCCCAGCAGCTGGGGGCATGAACCTTTCAGTCCTGAAGGGGCTCTGGCAGGCAGCCTAGCATCCAGGGGGACATGACAGGGCCGAGCATGGTGCCTGACCGTGGTACCACCCCACAATGTGGCTGTCTCACGAGGTGGCTGGGGACGGTCGCTGGCCCCTCTCTGGTCAGAGTTCAGGAAGGTGCCTTTAGAATCTGTCTGTCTGTTCTGTAGGAGACTCTCTGGGGACATCAGAGGTGCCATGCCTTCTGACCTTTCCAGGATCTGACCAGGTTCAACATGGGGAATCAGGGCGGAAATGCAGCTGTGTACAAAGGAGAGGAGGTGGCGGGGACCTCTCAGAAGCTCCACACTGAGGGAGAGTCTGGGCATTGGTCTCACCTGTGCCTCTGACTTGCTGGGTGGCCTTGGGGACGTCCCTGTGGGCCTCAAGGTCTCTGTCTATGAAGTGGGGGAGGGTTGTCCCTCTGGCTTTGACCTTCAAAGTCCTGCATCTCCCTTCCTCTCTGCTCTGCCCAGAAGACCAGAGCCTTTCATGAGTCTGCCCTTTGAACTAGCCCCTGGGTGGTGCAGGCTGTTCAGCGGCCAACAACTAATCATGAAGTCTGGCAGTTCAAGCCCACCCAGAGGTGCTTTGGAAGAGAGGCCTGGCCCTCGGATACAGAGAGGTCACCGCCATGAAAACGTTGTGAAGCCCAGTTCTGCTCTCTCTTAGGTGGGCGCTCACATGGCTTGACCCTGGCCCTTGAAATGGGTCCCAGACATTGCAGGGCACGTCACCCATGCCTGCCTCCCAGGGCTGCTGAGGGACAGACGCCTCAGTCCAGCCTCAGCCAGCAGCTGTGTGAACTGCAGTGACCACACCCCCTTGGCCATGGGTGAATGGCCTAAGGGCTGGGGCTACTGAGCAGAGCCGGACACTCTACAGTTTGCCAGACCTCTCTTCTCAGGCTCCTCTTGTTCGGCTGGAACCGCCAACCTTCAGTCAAGAGTTGTGCACTTAGCCGTTTCCTGCCCCCAGAAACTCTTAGATGACATCTACTCCTGAGGCTCAGGAAGTCAGCAGTGGAAGCTGACGCTGAGGGAGAGAGGGGCCAGGGTGTCCTGAGGGGCTGGGAGTGAGTCAGAGGCTGTGGGGCAGAGCAGGGGTCAGCAAGGTACTGTTGTGGGACACATTCCCACTCCTCTGAACTAGGAATGGCCCCTATATCTTAAACTCAAAAGGCTGATTCATAGCGACCCAATAGGACCGCCCCTGTGGGTGTCTGAGACTGACTCTTTACGGGAGGAGAAAGCCCAGTCTTTCTCCCAGGAACATCTTAAAAGGGATTACAAAGAGCGACTATTCCAGAAAGGCCTGCACCCTCCCCTAAAGCCTAAGCTAGTCACTGCCTGGCCAACTTTTGCTGGGCCCTGGGTTAACGGAAAGATAGGTTGAAGGCTGTGTCTCCACCCACCTACCACTCACCTGGGGTGCTATTGAAGTTTCCAGCTTCCTGAGCCACACCCCAGTAACTTCTCTCACGATTGGACTAGTGAAGAGGGCTCCCCAGGAATCTGACTTACTTACAAGCTACCCCAGTGTGGCAGTTACATAATTTCCTGTCAACTTGAAGTGTAGGCGTGGAGTCCAGCCTGCCAATTAGGTCACAGCCTGATGGTGCCTTCTTGTGGGCGTGGCCTCCACATAAAGAGGGTCCTGGGAGCCCCCCCACCCCCACCCCGCCCCGCTCTCTCTCTGCTTCACCTTCCTGTTGGTGAGCCACTCAGGGACCTGCCAGAGCCTTGTGATGCTTCCATTACCATTGGATCCACAAGACTCTGCCCCCACCGGCCTGTGATCTTCCTGCACTCTGCATCATTGCATGTAGCTTCATGAATCCGAAGAGGGATTTATGGACTAGTATCAGACTTATGGCCTTGATCTGGACTGGGCTGGGATGTTTTTCTGATGTATAACTACTTCTTGATATAAAACTCTTCCTTACACATATGAGTGCCACTGAATTTGTTCCTCTAGTCAACCGGACCTGAGATGCCCAGTGATTCGTATGCATGATAAAATATGAGGGTGATTGGAGCCGTGGGAAAGGAAGGGAGAAGGCATGCAGAGCAGAAACTCAGACGGAGCTCTGAGCCAACTGATGAAGGGGCAGCAGAGAGGAGACTCAGGCTGCTCAGGGTCTGGCCCCTGTCTACTCTCTGCAGGACCAGCCAGTTCTTAAGTCCTGGACAAGCTCACCCCGTTTCCTCTCAACCACAGGCGCTTGGGGTAGTCTTACAATCTGTCCAGTAATTATCAGACACACCTCCTTTCAAAAGGTGGAACCCAGTTCTGTCCTGCTGAGGGAAGGCTGGACTTGCTGAGGTGCTTCTGCTTAAAAGAGTGCAACAGAAGCGATGATATGTGACCCCCGAGGCTAGGTGAACGTGGCTGCTGCCCCCTCGCTCCCCCTTAGACGGCTCACCCCAGATGTCATGGGGTGGGGACCCTTCAAGCAGTCTCTGGAGAGGTCCACACGGTGAAGCGCTGAGGCCTCCGGCCAGCAGCCATGGGAGGAGCCGTCTTGTGGAGAGCCAGGAGCTCAGGCCTCCCTCCAAGAGCCCTGTGAGTGGGTCACCCTTGGGTGAGGGTCACATGGGGAGGAACTGAGGCTGCCTGCCAACAGCCAGCAACAGTTTGCCAGCCCCCTTGTGTGGGGCAGCCCCCTGTGTGGGTGACCCCCCCTGTGTGGGTGACCCCCCCTTGTGTGGGTGAGCTCCCCTGTGT